TGCCCTACTAACTCTCCTTAAAAAAACCAACAATAAAATACATATGGGGAGATTTTTGGGGTGCAAATGATGGTCGGGGAGCGATTGTCAGCAATTTTTCAATCGTTATTTGTTATATTTACTAGCCCTGTTATCTTTGCTCCATATCTTTGACAACTAAACAATTTGTCTAAAATTTATTCTTTCCTGTGATTAAAAGCTAAAAGTAAAAAGTATTTCCAATAAAATAACAAAATAATCTTCTTTCATGTTCCCGAAATAAACTTTTTTCAGCGAGCGCATTTAAATATTAAATAAACACCATGAAAAATGATTGTCCGTCCGAAAAAAAAAAATAGCCCGCGAGGAATCATCACGTTAAATTCAAATGTGTTTTCATCATGCGAAAACGGGCGTAGTGATGGATTAATGTATATGAAATTGAGGGGAAAATTACAAAAACAATGAACTCACATCATGGAGATGGCAGGCCGGGCGCGTTCCAGCCGGATGATTTCAGAACCTTATTTTCAGCTCTGATTGCTTCGCCTCAGACACTGACCACGGACGATTATTTACTTCATTGTCGCTACAGTCTTTACACGGGACAAGACGATGAAATTAAAGCCTGAAAACAAACAATGTCAATACCCTGTCCACTCGAGGAAATGTGACTTATAGATTTAATAAGTGTTGCTCTGCCGACATCGTTGCCCGAATGATTAATGTGCGACTGTTTTATTTGGAATTTCTTCCAAGACTTTTTTTTAAATGTTAATAAATGTATTTTTAGAGGATGAATTAAAAACATTAAAGCTAAGGAAATACGATAAGGCGTAACGTTAATTTTTTTTTTGGTTTATAAGGAAACTCAAAGTGGTTTAAAAAATGAAAGTCCGGTTGAATTGCGCAAAATAGAATTTCTTTCTCATGAAAAAGTTTCCTTTTACCCTTTTACGAAGCTGGTGGATATGATTTCGATATCGAGTTTGGAGCAAAAATCAAATATTTAATTTGCTGTGATGACTTCGATGTCAAATTATATTAAAAATTAAATAAGTAAAATCTCTGTATCACCTGTTTCGATTGATTTGACTCGATTTCAAGTTAGGGATTTTGGGGTTCCTATATTGGGGTTAGAAAACTGAATAAGTCGATAAAAAGGTATGTTTATTCAGAGAAAGTACGATTTTTGTGTCTGATTTCATAACCTAAACTATCGTATGCACTAAGTTATGAGCATATTTGAGGTAACCCCCTCATACCATTAAAAATTAAGTCGTAGAGCGTCAAGATTCGATCATTAGATCAAAAGTTATTCAAGATGGTCCGCTTTATATTTTGCCCACTGTACATTTCTCAAAGTACGGCGGAATGTACAAAAAATTTACACTGTACATTTCATATATATATATATTAAAGAGATGAAGAAAAAATATTGATAAATAGAATGTTTTTTAAAAAACAAAAATATTGAAAAAATTAAAAAGCCGTTAAACGAAATAAGGAAAAGATATAATATTGTCTCCAGCTCACACGATTATATCAGCAAAAAAGAGTACTTTCTAATTTTGTTTTAATATAGCTAAAGCATATTAATCATATGCACTAAGTTATCAGCATATTTGAGGTAACCCCCTCATACCATTAAAATTAAGTCGTAGAGTCGTTATTCAAGATGGTCCATTTTTTATTTTGAGGCACTATACATTTCTCAAAGGACGGCGAAATGTACAAAAATGTACACTGTGCATTTCATACATATATATTAAAGAGATGAAGAACAATTATTAATTAATAAAAATTTTTAAAAAGGAAAAATATTGAAAAATTAAAAGAAATTAAAAAGCCGGAAAACAGAATAAGGAGAAGATTTAATATTGTCATCAGCTCACACGATTATATCAGCAAAAAAGAGTGCTTTCTAATATTGTATTAATATAGCTAAAGCAAAACAAAATATATAAATATAATAGTGTGACGGATTTTTCCCCTTGTTTTCTTTACATTTTTAACTATATATATACCCATATAATATTAAATTAATACTGCAACTTTAAGTCTGTTATAACGAACATATGTGTTTAAATATTTGAGAGATATTTAAAAACTTTAGTTTTCAAAATTTCGTTTGGAATTTGTGTAAAACTGAAGTAAACAGAAAGAAATCAACGAACCGCTCTGAAAAACTCATTTAGGATTCCAAGATTTATTAAAACATTATTTCCTGACCCTATTTCGTGACTTGTAATCATTTTGTTACATATTTACTAGATTGTAATGCTTCATCACGAATTTTAAAGTGTTTAAGTTGCTTAATGATTCACATTATATGTTCAAAATCACGAAGTTTGAAGGAAAATAATCAATACTGATTTTTTTCCCATTAGACTTTTATTGATTATTGTTTCGATCAATGTGAATGTTATTTTCGTTCACGTTATTTCATTTTTATTGTTTCATCGAAAACATGTATCTAGAACAACACATTGATTTTTATGATTTTTTTTCCTGTCATGATGTTGTTTTTGCCAATCTCACTTATGCGGTTGTAATTTCAATATTATTAAAGAATGTAATAAAATTTTGATATACTTAAGTGATCTCATGTTTGTCATTTTTTATTAACGTTTAATAGAATCACTCACTTTTATGATGTTTAAAATTAATAAGATTGGGAACAATACAATGCTTTTGCATGAAGTTTCAAATTTTTTACTGTTTTGATGTTCTTGTTTTCGTCAATATCAATTACGCCGTTGTAATTTTTTTTGTCGAATGTAATAAAAACAATAATATATAAGTTCATTCTTATTTTTCTTCTTATTTATGTTTTATAGAATTATTTAATCTTATTTTATGTAAGTGCAATGAGACTTGGAGCAACAACTTCTTCAAAAAATTTTTTTATCTGTATACAGTCGAGTTATTCTTGTTTTTATTAATCTCAATAATACCGATGTTATTTCAATTTCACATCAAAGTATAACAAAACTAGAAAATTTTCAAATTTAGTCAAATTTTTAATTTTGATTTAAATTTTTTTTTTTTTAAATTTTTCAAGTTGTATTTTAATATATTTTAAAAGATTCTATATAATTTAATCATAATATTAGGATTGTTTTTAATATATTTTATAACATAATCATATTTTTTTAAATCTTATTTTTTAACAATCCTCCTATTCGTCATTGAATCTTTCATAAATTATAATCTTTTATAAATAATAATCTTTCATAAATAATAATCTTTCATAAATCATAATCTTCTATAAATCAGCACTTTATTATTAAAATATGGTTCCCTTACATAAGTTTAAAATTATATCAAACATAAATTTCAGGAATATAATCCTGAATTTTTTTTCACAAATCAACTCTTACTGTACCAAATATGTGGTTTTCTTAATAAATTTTAAAAGTACACGCGTAATTTATTTTAAAAGCGCATTCATAAATCAAATAAATATTATCTGTTACAGACGTTCGATTCTCTCATTAAAGTTCAATAAAGTATCGATCATCATAAAAAATGCTAAGAAAATATTTAAAATGCAAATAAACAGAAAAGATAAACACAAAACAAAAACAGATAAGATTTTTATAAATTTTTTTATGAAGATTAACATGTTTATTTAATGTTGGAACAATGCGAATTCTTTTTGAATGAAAGTACTTTCTAACAATACCCTTAAAATATGTTTTTTAAATAAATAAAATAACTTTTCAGCTTTTTATTTTCACAAAAAACATGATAACTGTATATTATTGATACATGATATATATTAGTTTTCACTTTGCACTGAGAAAGTTTAAAAATGTATTCTTGTTGAGGAGAGAAGCTAAGTATTTATGCTTTTCAACAAAACGTGGTACGCGATACATTTTTTAAAGTGTACTTCTATTGAAAGGAAGAACTACGCATTCACGTTTTTTAAACAAAAAACAATGCGCAATAATTACTTCAAAATATTTCATTATTGAAATGTGCTATCAAATATTTCTGCTTTTAAGCAAAAAGTTGAGAAAATATATATTTCATGATATATTCATATTTAGAGGAGGTATTCCGGCTTTTAAACAAAAAATTTTGAACAACAAACGTTTCAAAATATATTCACTTTGAAGAGAGAAACCAAATATTTCTGCTTTTCAACAGAAAGTTGTGAATGATAAATGTTTAAAAGTATATTCATATGAAACCAAGTATATGCAAGTATATTAGTTTTTCAACAAAAATTGTGGAAGATAAAAGTCAACTCTACATTCATAAATGAGTTTGTTGCTTTAAATTATATTTTCAGAATTTAGGAAAATCAATAGGAATATTTTTCTAAATGTGAAATAGTTTGGAAAATAATATAAGAAGCTCTGACATACATAATTAAAAAGTATATTTGTTATAAAATTTGTGAATTAAAAGGTTTGTTAAAAAATTAAGAAATTTATTGTACAGAGAGGAATTTATTTTGTATTTTGATGTAAAGAAACTGAAAGAGGTTAATTATTTTTTTTGGATGCTCTGTAGCAAAGCCTGTTCGTTTGGCTCATTTTTCTTAATTAAATGCTATACTTTTTTTAAAATACCTTTTTTTTAAAATTGCTGAAATAGTTTTTTTTTCTTTCCTTTTAATTAAACATTTTAAATTGGCAAAATTTCCGATGCAAATTTATATCACTTTAGTGATGGGTACTTTATTTTTTATCTCATTATTTTAGATACCTCAATATTACCTTACATTGATTAGAAGTGATTCAGTGCTTTAATATTGAACAATATCAACCTACGTTTAAAATCATAACTATTAATGAAAAAGATACAAAGTAATGAGTATTAATGTATCTGTTAAATCTAACTGCTACTGTACCTGTTAGTTTAGTATATGTCATTTATTATGGTATAAAGCAACAAACAGCATGTTCATGTGCCTCATTTCTCTGTTAATATAAATATCTATATTTAGCAGATTAACCAACAACTGTTACATATTGAGTTCTAAAACATTCATTATTCTTTTTTAGGTATAAGGAAAAGGGCTATGGCCATGGTTGGTAAATGAAAAGCCCTGCTTAAAGTTGTATTGTAACCTCATATACCTGTGAATAGAAGATACCTGTGAATCGAAGATCACTGTTCCTCTACATTTTGTGGAGCTTGATGCCAAAACGGCGTACTAAAAGAAATTTCGTGGTCTCCCAACTACGAATGTGCTTAAAAATAAACTGTAATTCCGTGCTGTGTACGGAAAACTGTGCTTGCCTGGGGAAAGCACTGAATCTTTTCTGTGAAGAGACATGTGAATGAATTCAAACAAGTTTCGACATTGTTACAAAAGGGGGATTATAGTTATACACAAATTGGAATTTTTAGTTATTGTAACTGTACCTTATATATTCATGATAATTAAGAATTTAAAAAAAAATATTTGATTTCATATTAAGTACTTAAATTTAAAAAACGCACAATTTTGAAGTTTTTATTTTTACTGTATATTTAAAAAAAACAAATAGTTTATTAAAATGGTGAAATACTTGTTTTATATACAAAAAAATTTGTTTTTAACAATGTCATTAACAATGTGTTTTATCATAATTAACCTATAAGGATATGTGAAAATGCTACTGTAGGAATTCTTTTTAATACATTTTTTATTAGAGGAATGTTTTAATATATCATAAAATATTGCATAATGTTACATTTAATTTATAACTTAATTAATAGCAGTATGTTGTTGCATTTTAGGAAGTGATTGTGTTATGGAAGGGTGAAAAAATTAAAATATGGAATATAATTAAAAAAAAACGTCAAAAATTATAGATTTTGAAACAATAACGTATAAATATACTTCAATAGCAAATATAATGTATTAAGTTTTTAAAAAAATAAAATGTAAAATAAAATTAATATTTTTTGTTAAAACAGACTTACAGTTTATGAAAGTATTGTTCCAGAATTTTATAAATTGTTTTTCATTAAATTTTTTATTCTTTATAACGAGAGAAATGTTACATAATATTGCTGAAATGCAATTTCGAAATGTGAAAATATTTTAAATAGAAAGTTAAATGGGGATATGAATGTGCAGTCAAAAGTTGCGTTAAATATATTTAATTAAAAAGAAAATAACATGTAAAATTGGGTATCTTGCATAAACTGGGAAGTTCTAATTACTAGGGTTATATTATTAATGTTGATGATATTATTGCATTGGCTATTGATATTGATGATGTTATTGTATAAATCATTGATATTAGTGATATTATTGTATAGTTTTTTTTCACGAGTACTTATTTTTTTCTCTTAGATTGGTATGAAATTTAAAATAATTTGCAAAGTATTAAATCAGCCGATATTGAAAAAATAAATGTTTCTTTCCGCATTTTAGCACTCAAATATTCATACACTCAAAACAGTTACAGCTGTTTGAAAATTATCTTTCTATTAGTCGGGTTGGGTAACATTTGGCTTTTGGATCATACTAGATAGGTAAAAATTTGCTAACATCTTTTCGATCAATATTTCAAGAAACTTCTTTTTAAAAAGCTTTAAATAGTTTCTAAAAAAAAAGTTTAAATAACTACAATTAAGGTATAAATGACTTTAAAATTATTGATTTGCACAAATTAACAAAATCAGAATTATAAATTCAATATTTATCAATATTTTGCAAAATATGAGTATCCCATATCCATTAGTAGATGATAAATATAATAAAGGGCATAACAATAAGGGTATAAAGATATAATAAGGGTAATTAGAGACAGAAGAAATAAGAAACATTTTTCTAATACGATACATTTCTCTAATACGTACGATAGATAATTTTAAATAAAACAATTAAAAAAAATCCTTATTGAATTATTTAAAGTTCCACTCTAAAAAGTCTTATGCTTTAAAAATTTGTTAGAACATAATTGCATTCGTGGTAAGGGGGAAAAAATTACTTAATCTCATTTAAAAATAATAATGCTCAAAAAACCAATAACTATCGAAATTTTTAATGCATCTTTGATATGAGGAAATATAGAATTTATATAGTATACCGAAATGAGAAATTTTGTTAGTTCATTTAAATTCTGGCATGTAGCTATTATAGCTACAAGTAAAAATACCAATAATTATAAAAATTAGTTATAAAAGTTTAATAGAACAATTAAATAATTAAGAAATTTTACATGTTTTAGGTAATTATTCTGTTTTTATTTTTAAAAGTAAACATATATGAAATAAATCACTGAACTAAAATAAAAATTCTTATTTCTCCATTTGTCTTTAATTGCCCTAATTTTTCCTAGTCAAAAATTATGCCCAGAGAGTAAACAATGCTAACCCAAATTAAGCTAATCATTAAAATTAATTAAAGTATTATAAGATATCATCTCTGTTTTTCCTTCACGAAGCTTCAGTGTATAATCAGTTGAAAATGAAAAGAATCAAAGTTAATTAATTTTGTATTGAGGAGAAATTTATTACCAAAAAATATTTAAGTTTAAAAACTGTTTATTGATTTATATACAGTACATTTTTTGTATTGTATCTTTTTGTAATTGGTAACAAAGTGAGCATATATTATTAAAAATAAATTACTGACTTATATATAAGTTTAAGTTTAGTTCCAAGACGAAAATTTATCGATTGTCTTTTGCCAGACTATGCAGTATTTAATGACGGTTACTTATTTTTAGGGCGACTGATTGTACTTATTTTAAGACAGTACTTATTTTTAAATTAGCAATTTAATATTTGAAACAGAAATAAACTTTTATTCCATTAAAGACTTTTAAAAAATATATGTCTTTATACTATATACGTGTAAAAACTGTTAGAAAAACTAATCCAAAAAAGTTAATGGCAAAGTCTTATAACGGTAGTTTCAAAACCTGGTCATAGTAGCTCTTTCGAAATTAATCGATGTTGCTACACTTAATTAAGTACTATAAAGAAACACTTATAAATTGTTGATATAACAAAAGCTGATACCATTAAAAATAATTTCATTGTATTTTAGCAAATTTTTACTATCAAGTTCAATGGATTTTACTTCTCTTGTTTGCACACATTTAACTATCTTAAATTTATTTAAATTCTAAAAAAGGAGTGGTCTTATTCACATTATATTGAAAAACGTTTAAAGCATTTATATGAAATAGAGAGAAATTTGTTTGCTGTACTTCTTTTCTCATCTTTTGTAAATATATTTCCTTTTTAATAAATGTTATTTTTTGTATGTATATGATATATTTCTTTCGTACTGTCTATACACAAACATGCTCCCACAATATATTTTCAATATGTCTTAAGGAAATTACTAAAAATTTAGATCTTCTGGCGTATGAGAACTTTATAATGAAAGGTTATGACAATAATAAAACAAATAATTAAAAAATAAATGTATAGTAATGATTGCGTGTTAATGAACAAATTCTTGTACTAACAATAATTTCAATTTTTAAGGAAAAACATACTTGAAGAATATCATTAAGTTATACATTTATTTATTTGAAATATTTTACACTTAAACCGTTCTGAATATGCGTTCTTCGTACTTGGTAAAATAAGTCTTAAATAATTACTGAATCGTTATTTTTTAACATTACGTAATCATGTACATAACTGAAAGCACACTTACATCTAGATAATTAAAGAATTAAAACTATTTACAATTTTTATTCCCTTTTATTGCATTTACCAGTTACTTTATACTATTATATTAAGCAAAACACGTTTTTCAAAATTCAACTTGTCAAAATAAAAATTTACTATATACAACATCATTCGGAACAAAAAGAAAAAACAAAAAACAAAAAAAAAACGATGCTATTAAGCATTTTTAACACAATGAAGCATTTTTTTCCAATGGATTTCCTTGCAGTTGATTTTACATTAGTTAGGTTCATAAAAACATATTTTAAAAGAATAACTATGAACAAAATCATAAATAAATATAAAGAAAGAAAGATATATGCTGCTTCAGATAGCTTCCACAAGATTAATCTGTAGTATCACCCCAACATGGCAATATTGCTTGCGTTGATAGAAAGAATAAAAAAAATACGTAATTTTTAAGAATGCGCACATTTTTTTTAAAGGAAAATCGCTTTTTAGGAATTTCAAAGACCTAACACAAACGGTTTTACGAAGAACAAGATAGACAACAAGCCACAAACTCTCTTTTATTATTATCAAGGTTAATTTCATCAGAAATTGGTTTTAAAAAATTGTTTCCACCTAATCATGAAAAGATTACATGGAAACAATGAGATTGCGAGTTAACAATGATTTTTTATAGATCACTTATTTTATTCTAGCATAAAAGAACATAACATTAGATATGACGAAAATCTCCTCATATATAGACGCCAAGCACCATTTATCGATTCATCGATTCTAGTACTTTATATTAGATCATTGAAAATGAAAATCTCACACGTTCACCGATTCATCGATTCCAGTACTTTATGTTAAAACATTGAAAGTGACGAAAGTCTTTTGGCATATAGGAGCGAAGCATCATTTACCGATTCATTGATTCCAGCAGTCATATATTAAAAGTCGTGAAAAAGCACAAAATAACGCATGTAAAAATGAGGGATTAACATTAAAGTACTTACAAGTCAGTCCTAATTGTTCACTGACAGTTGTTCAGGCAGAATTTCAGCGTTTTTTATAAATTCTTTGAGTTCATCAAAGAAGACATAAGTCTCTGAGCAAGGAGATAAAGTAGTATCTGAAGTACTCTTCCTTTTCTGTTTGTTTTGGGTTTTCTTGGAGCGAGAGGGGCATTCAGGGAAGTTTGCAGTACGGTTGAAACTGAAAACATGAAACATAAAAAAATTACACGAAAAATAATGAAACTACGATTTAACACCATCTTGTCATTGATCTCTTACTTTATTACAACATATTAGAAAATAACATTAGAGATCTCGGTAAAAAAATAAATCTCGGTAAAGGTTCTATTTTTTTTTTGGAAAAACAGTTTCTTTTTAATTCTAAACATGTCACTTACAGAGCATATCTATAGGTAAATAAAGGAGGACAAATTGTGCATTTTCTGTAATTTTTGCCAAGTTATGAGGAAATCATTAGAAATTTAGTTTATATTTAAAAAGTGAGAGTAAGTTGGTAAGAAAATACCCATATATTTCATGAAATCTTTATAGAATATTTTTAAAAAACAGCTGTAGTCCTAAATATGCTAGTTTCAGAGCATAACTATCGTAATTGTTGACATTTTGCGTTTTTTTGAAGTGAGGAAATTTGCTGAAACTTGATTTAATTTTAGCGTCAATTTGTAGGAAAATGCCCATATATTCCTTTGTAATAGTAGAAACGTTTTTTTTAAATCTTGTTTAATTCTATACATACTACTTTCAGAGCATAAATAACGTAACGTTAAATTTATTTAACGGTGGGAAATTTTCGTAATGAGTGAGTGACTAGTAATAAGTAACCAAATTTTTAATATAATTAGTTTTATATAAAAATGC